ATCCAAGTCTGCAGTACGTGCTTAATTTCAGACAGTCTTACTTTAAGTGCCTCCTACCTTGTGCAGAGTTCTCTGTGCACCCTTACAGAAGACGGCAAAGCAGCTGAAGAATCACAGGGTTCCTTCAAAAAGAAGTTTTTGAAGACTGCATATGGCACTTCTGCGTGAGGGAATTTAGAGCTAAAAAATGTGCAAAGCACTGCAGGAAGTAGAAAAAGCTGCAATGGAGACGAGCAAACAGAACAGCAGCAATGCATAAACATTTTAACTGAAATCATTCCCTGTGATGTAAGTAGAGAACAGATGTGGACAAAGATTGCTATGAAAAGGTACCAGTGTGACCACGACTATTCACATTAGCCAAAAAGCATTAATAATTGATTTAAGGCTCTAAGTCCTGTAAAAATTTGCTCACGTGAGTAGTTGTGTTCTTCCATAAGCTATCTGGCCAATTATAGCCCAAAGTGCTAAGCACTGATATCCCTCACTGCCTGGAGAAGGACTGAAAGTAATTCCTTCTGACTTCGGTAGCGTGGGAACAAGGTGCCACTCCTGCTCTCTGATTTTAAATTTGTAACCTGGTTCAAAGACACTGATGACCATCATAACATTTATAGTTAGATTAGTAAATGGTTCTCTGTATTTTAGCAGAATAACTATATCCAATGCACTATGCTTCACATAGAAGGAAGATTGTAAGATATTTCAGTTAATTTAGCTATGAATTGCAATAACTATTGGTAATCTTGAAGAAAAATTAAGAATATCTGCAAATTAATCAGGTCTGAAGAGCCTTCCACTGAAATATTAATTTTCTTTTAACCAAGAAAAACCCACTTATCATATGAGCTGGACAGGTCTTTTCCTGTAGTTTTCAGACCTTGATGTTTTATTGACCAAACTCCTTGCTTTAGACTTGAGCTCGTGTTCTCTGAGGAAGTACAAGTGGTAATTACGCAAGTCTTTCCTTCCCTGTCATAGGCAACATTCACAAGGGAGATTTACAACCTTCAGCTTTCAGATACGGAGACTGGTTGTTTAACTTCAGTGTGAACAACTCTGACATGCTGAATGGCATCAGAATTGGAAAAAATCCTCTAGAAACCAGCTACCTGGACAGACCCAGGAGTTAATTATTATGGGGGTTGTTTTGCCTCTTCTTTTCCCTGTAGTAACACCAACTGCAAGATTGCTCAGAATTTATTTTGTTTTAGAAAACAGACTCCTAAATATGCATTTTACTCCTTGAGGCAATAGCAAACTACCCCATGGACTGAGTGGTACTTATTCAATTGTAACAAATACAATGAAATAGGTGATCATAATGTAAAGACACTATAATGAAACACTGTGTTAAGAGTTGGTAGGAGTTGAGTGCTGGCCCAGAAACACAGTCAGGACAACTATAAACAAAACACATTGTAAATTAACTTCAGTAATGAAACCCAAGATATATTTTCTTATCACAAAGCATTCAAAAAATCATTTTGTTCATTTGAATTACATTTAGCTGAAGTTTTGATATATAGATGAAACATTTGGCCCCATGCTCCTCTAAATGTACACTTTTGCTCCAGAAAGAAGCAAGCGGGTTATGAGCAGAAACTTACTTTTAATCAATGGTCTTTCAGGTCACTTCAGTAAAGTTTGGATTAGCCCCTTAATGCACACACTTATCATGACTGACAACAGTCCTGCCTTCACAGGTTTGATTGATCTAATGCTGGAGAAGGTACAGAGGGCAGGAGAGCTGCACAAGGAGTACGGCTGGTCTGTAATGACCGCGCTTCTGTGACCCTCGCTGGATTGTAATAACGATCTTTTTATTAAAACAAAACAAAACAGGACTGCAAGGGCTCGAGGGCAGAGCTGAGTTCTCTTTTGGCCTGTGTTAACCTCTAACCAAAATCTGGCCATTTTAAAAAAAAAAATGTACCTCAGCTGTTTTTCTTTATTTTTGGAAGTTTAAAATGAAATATAAAGCCCATAATAAAATGCATATGAGGACACAAATCAATAGACATGAGAGCTATGTTAAGAACTACGCAACCACATAGGTCTTCATTAACGAGAGTGTTCTCCTTGTGAAATTCAGAAAATGCTCTTATTCTCTTGTAGGCATGTTGTTGTTTGTGCCATTATTTATTTCTATGGTAACCAAAACAGTAAATACAGCATTATTAGACAACAGTAATCAAGCAAAAAAAAAAAAAAGAAACCTCATTGCAAAAGAAGACAACTAAGAGCCAAAACAGAGGTGTTTAGATGATGGTGTAATTTGCTATAATAACTGTTTAACCACATATTTGGCAAGCCCTGGATAACTCACTTATGAGTAATGCATTTGTCCAAATTACATTCAAATAAAAAGTAGTTACCATGCTACATTATCATGCATTCTGCACAGATATTTCCTCCCTATTGATTTTCCCACGACAAGAAGGCTTCTTACTGAGCTCAGGTTAGCTCTGGGTTGGTGCTTATTTCTCTTTTGCAGCCTCTCTGAGGTTGGTTAGGTGACATGGAGCCACACATCATCAGTCCTTTGCTATCTGGAGCTATCTAACTTATTTGTGCAGCCTCCCACTCGCCTCTTCCCTGTCTGCTCCATCTGGAGGGAGCTTGGCTGCTCTCCTCCAGCCCCAGCTCCCTGAGCACAAGGCAGGCTGCAGCTGCCAGAACATCTGCTGTCTCCTGGCCTCGCTGGGGTGAGTACCAAAAGCACAGCCTTTGTAAAGTTGGACACTCGCCTCCATTGGAAACTGGGTGAGTTCAAAGTTCTTGTATCTGTCGTGAGACTTGCAGCTTCGTGGGAATATATAACTGTCTGTAACACAAATTTAAGTGTGCTTTTCAAAGGGACACATGCACTGTCTTTAGGATGCACTGGCATTGTGCCTGCTCTTCCCCTGCATCTGTGGAGATCTGGGGTTAGAATTGTCTTATTCTAAAGAAAGAGTCATTTTCAAGAGCAAGGAGTAGAAGGAATGCAAACCCAAACAAAATCAGTCCTTGATTCTGCAACTGCATCCTTCAAGGGTGGGCTTCTCCTGCATCAGTGCCTCCAGGCCATACAAAAGCTGTAATGATGTGCCCTGGGCTATTTCCTTATGAAGGCAGAGGTTGCCTCTTGTTTGAGAAGATGCATTTGAAACAGAGATATCTTGTTTGAAAAGTTAGGAGCATGAAATAACATCACTGTAATCTCACAGGAGGAAAATCTGCACAGCAGCCCCCCATCAGCTGTACTTTTCATATGTGGGTCAAATCATGCCCTGGCGACGTGCAGAGCTCCCACTGACTTCATAATGGGAAATGTATTACTTATTTAGAGCTGACTTGGCTTTATTTCGAATGATTTAATACTTTGGTTATTAAAAGTTCCATGTTTTGGAGAAGCAACATCAACAGGTGACACATAGTTACACTCTTCTTTGCCCCTTTGCTCTGTACTTTCTACGCGGGGTGGGACCCAGTGTGCATTGGTTAGTGTGGCTCTTCCAGGACCAAATCCTGGACCTGGAGCGCAGTGTGAACAACTGTGGTAGGTGTTCTGAAATTGGCTTTATCCAACTCACACTGGCACAGAGCTGTTTGGGGCTCTCAGAATGTGTCTAGAATGACACGTTGGCTTGAAACGCAAGCCAACACATAGCTCCATCCCCTGAACGTCCCCCACTGCTTAATCTCCTGCTTGCTCAAACCTTGAGCTGCTTTGGCTCAAGCCTGGAGTGAACAAACAGACTCTCTGAGGAAGAAACCTCAACCTCAGCTTGGTCCTTATTCAGGCTCTCTCAGGGCTAGAGGAGCTCTTGACTACAAACTCAAACTTCAACATTAGGTGATATGATCTCGCACCCAGTTGCCCTCTGGGGAGCTCCCCACCCCAGCAGACACAAACATGCTGGTCCAGTCCCTTCCCCTGGGCCCCTCACAGCCCCCTTTTACAGAGGAAAGATCCTTGCTGAAAACCATCCTACAGAAAAAGAGGCTTAAGAGCCTTTGAGAATTTCCCCAAACCCACTGCTGTCCCCTCTATAACCTCAGTATGACATATTGGCACGTACTGTCCCCTTCACCACATGGAAGCTGCCTTTAAAGCAGGAGCTGATCAACACGGAAAACAGAATCAAAAATGTTTGTCTCCAGTGGGATGGAGAGTCCCCTAATACAGACACTACCTAAATACAGAACAAGACCACTCTGAAAAACTCTGCAGGTCTAGAAAGGAGCTAGAAGCAACTACTACTCAATTTATGGTACTGCAGCTCAAAGCTAAGCAGGCGTAAGTAGAATGCACAATAAATGTATATTTAGCTGTAGTTAAAAGTGAAACTTAATATCTTGTGTTAGTACATAGTACTCTCTTACCAAGAAAACTAATTTATAGGTAAAGAAACAGAGCTTAAAACTAAGAGACTGTGTGTTTTTAAATAACCTAAGTAAAATGCATACTTAACTTACCTTTTATTCTCCTGCTGTGTGTGCCCTGAGCTGGTCCAGGGAGTTCTATGAGGTAAGAAATTCCTGGTCAACAAAAGTTCCTTTTCTAAAAAAAGTGAACATAATGGAAACGGGGAACCACTTACCAGGCAGCTGAAAAAGGAGCTGACTGTGCAGAGAATTTCACACCTTATGGCTTTTGGTCAGTAAAGTACATAAACAAAATGTAATTTTCTATGCAATTACACAGGGTCACACAAGAATATTATGTTTTAGAAACGCACTCAAAAGCATATTGCTCTCTAAGAGCCCAATCCAGAAAATGATTCTTCACTTTACTAAAGTTGCTCATAAGCATTTCTGGGAGTGGAGCCTAGGAGACATTCTCTTTTTTATGCTTTCTTAAACAGTTTATGTGATAGTAACAACAGGAAGATAAATTACTTTGAATGGTAGCAATTAGAGAAATAAGGAGTGTGATAGATTTACCATGTGGAAAACATCTCTCACACATTTTCTTACAGTCATTAAACCTACTTTTAATGACACAACACTGATTTCAGAAAGAAACAAAGTTTATTTGATGAATATAAACAAGCTGATCAACACTAAATACTTCCCATACACATGATAACAATGTCATGAACTCTAAATACCTTGGTACTTTACACTTCTACTAGACATTAAATTACAATGACTGTCTAATACATGCCCACTGGTAATTTCTAGGAATTCCTTAGTTTCATATCAATGTCCTTAACCATATATCAATATCACAATCCAGAACATGCCACTCACTTGAAAAAATTATTACAAGAAGCACTATCAAATGAGGATCTAAGGTAAATAGGGAATACTGACCCATTGCTGCAGAACATCACATTCAAACGTCACCCTACACACACAAAAAAAAACATTGCGGATATAGTTTGTGTCAGCACATCTGAGGTCTTTTCATAAACACTGTTTAAAAAGTAAATTGAAACCCACTTTCAAATGAAAGTCAATGTGCAGGTACGTGCATACTGGATACACAAAATTCATTAAATACAAAATTCATACTGTACATTTAAATGAAAGAAAGAATGTGCAGTACAAGACTGATCTCACATTAAAATAATAATCATTATCTTAAATGCTAACCAAAAGTTGGTTTGCTTCATTACACTTAGAGGGGGAAAAAAAAATCTACCAAACATTGCTGAAATAAAATACTTCCCAACATCACAGTGTTTATTGTAAACCCCGAGATTCTATTTTAGTATATGAAAGATTTTCTCCAAATATCATAGAGTATCACATGAAATGAAAATAAAGAAAAAAAAATAAGCAAGAAAGGAAAAAAGCAATGTTAGACAAAATTTTCCTCTTTAAGGGGCTAACTTTTAGGCCCTGATAAAAGTTTAGATCAATACTCTTACCAACATGAGTGGAGCAAAAATGCCCCTAAAATAATACCTGTGACAAAATTGGCACGTACATATAAATATCTAACTATACAGCTTTGTATCTGTGACCCTATTTTCCCCCTAGTTTACATCCTACTTCAAGTATTCGGTTGCAGAGTTAAGGTAAAGACCTGATTGTAAGAGACACAGACGATTGTCCCCTACTGCGACAACAAATTTGTCATGAGAAACCAGTTTTGTTGTCTGAGTTTCCGAGTGCAACATTTGTCATATGTGCTAAATATACTCCTCAAAGCTTTGCTGTTTCAAAAACAAAGATCTAAAATGCCATTGATAGTTAAAGGACAAACTTTTTAAACATGAATGAAATTGGGATTATCTACGCTATGCTAATTCTATACATTTTACTCTATTTACTGAAGACAGTAACATCCAGCAGGGCTCCTGCTCGAATAAATTGCTCTTTGATTGCACCAAGAATCATGGTACAAGTAAATAAAATATCATCTCTAGATAATAATTTTAAAGGGGTTACTATGTATGGCTCATGTAGGAGTTAATCGCACCACAGGTTCAAAAAATAATTTTTCTAAATTCAGTGCAAGACTTCAGGAGTATCCATTGAGATTTATTTTTTTTTTACAGCAGCAAAGAAAAACTACTAAGGATTAAGGCCACCCATGCTTAAATTTATTGTTTGTCCTTTAAAAATGCAGATATTCTCTTCCCACTGCCATCAGCATGGAAGCATTTCTTCCATGGACAAAAAGATGCCTCAACAAAACAGCCAAACATTTTTGCACATGTTTGCCAGACTGACTGAAAATGTTCGTGGAGTCAGAAGGAACTTCTCCTTGAGAAGTTGTAGAGATCTGACTGTCAGTTAATAGTCTCTCACTGAATGTAATGACTTCACATTTTTATTTTTCCTTGCATGTGCTTTAAATTTATTTTACTAGACACATTTTGTTGACACAAACAGCCTTTAAGTGCTATTTGTTCATTGGTATTTTCTTTAACATCTAAGATTCATTGGGGTCCATGTTGGAGACTGTTTTTCAATGTAGAGAACAATAACAAACAGTTCCACATTTACAGGAGACCTAGTGCATATACTGTATTCACAGCAATCTTATCTTTATTTTTGTTTTTTGTTTGTTTGTTTTTTAAGAGTCCCAGCTTTTATCATTGAAAACATGTATGCATTTGGATGGTAAAAGGTTGATACATCCTTGTGTACATGTCCATATATATATACATACATATGTATTTATATACGCCTCAAGCTTTTACCATCCCGGAATAGATACATCTTGTATATAATCATATATTTATGTTCAAATTAGATGTCCTATGCATTGTCAGAGACACACACCATATTTTCATAAAGCTAATCTTTTTCATCAGTTATTAGTACCAAAAATTGATTTCATTTCCAACCTGGCCCAGAGCTTAATACCGGTTATATTATCAATATTTGTTTTTTGTTTGGTTTGGTTTTGGTTTTTTAATTGATATTATTTTATCAGTAGATATAAGAAAACAGAGGAGGGTAAAGGCTTGTTTTTACTTTTTGGAAAAGCCCACATCTAACTGGGGGTAAGGTTAATGCCAACACCCTTATATAGCATTTTACTAATACCTCTTTGATAATCTAGTGCAATAGAAGTGATACTTTAGAATAGACTAGGTAAAATCAGCAAATGCAGATACCACATCTACGAGAATCTGAATTACTTATTAAAATCAATATTAATTTACCAAAAATTAGTTAAATAGCCTATTTAACTGAACTTCATTAAACAATCATATTCTGAACAGATGGTTTCTTTGTGAAAACAGAATAACTCACAAGACCCATTAAAAACAGAAATGAAGCTCTTATAATTTCTGCTTGAGTCTCCTTCATTATTTTCCAAAGTATCTAATTTCACAATAGACTACAAGAAATAATGGAGAAAATGCCAATTAATGCAGCATTTCATTAGATATCAACCTTAGCATTCATTTTCTGCATCTGTGATCTTCTCCAGGATATCATGGTCATGTTTGGAGATCCAATGCAATAGATTATCATTGTTACCTTCCAGTGCTACAGTTTATTCTTCCTTTTTCGCTAGTTCCTCTGACAACTGTAACAAGGGAACAAAATATTCCAATTAACAACATGATTGAAGCATCCAGAACATTCTACTTCTCATCTGACCGAGATTCTCATTGACATGAGTGGGTATATTGCTTTTCTAGGGACTAAGGATTAAGTAAGGCATTTAAATTCGATTCGAACCCACTTACTATGTTCATAGGGGCGCAATTAGTTTTATTGTTGACTTGTATGACAAGATTCCCCCTAAATGGGAAATATTTTAGATTCCTAAGATGTAAAATTCTATTGTGCTTGTGAGTATGTAAACAATGGGTTTTTTGATCTTGTCTATAGGCACAGTAGCTTTGAAGGAGTAATGCTATTAATAAAACTAAATACTTTTATGTGGCAGCCAAAGGAGTCATGCATTTATTTCCATGTTAGGTGGGAATATGCTGTACCTCGAGCAACTCTGCAAAACCGAAGCACCGTTTTGTCATTATATTTTAAGCACTTTAAGTTCACTTTAAGTTCTTAAGTACTTATTTAACTTCCCTCACAGCAGAGAAAGGTTTCATGGATACAAGAAGCTCAGATTTACAGAAGTTACAATTCAGAACAGTCTGATATGAGTTTTTCAGCCACACTCCCACTAATCACAGGCTTGGCATGGCCAAAACCTGGAGGACTGTGAGAGGTAATGGGTGTCAGCCCAAGTCAGTCAGTGGGAAGAGCCTTCCTGCCTTCTACAGACCTGTGTCTGGTTGTGAGCAGCTACAGAGTGAGACCTGAATGATCTTCATTGTTACCCCAGTTGAGCTGCAAGCAACTTTGTGAGCAGAGAGCAGTGAATTAGTCTTATTCACGTTATCTATATATCAGATGAGTGGGAGGAATTAAATGATTCCCTTACAGGGCAGTTGTTCATTTATCCACTGACTGTTTCTAGAAAATCTGAAATGCATTATGTATGGGATTCTCTGTTATTGCCCTTCCATTTATGTAACCTTAGAAGTTTCCAAAACATCCAATTGTATGAAAAGAAATTGCCATACAATGCTTATGCTTTTGTATACAGCTGAAAACTTATGTTTTTCCAAATAGAACTAGTTGACTAAAAAGCCCCTTTAAATTCTAGAATCTAATATTTGTAAGAGAAAATTATTCTGTGAGTAAAGTGAAATACTGCTTACAGAATAAACTCAAAAATTATTTTAAATCCTTATTTTCAAGTTCATATATATGCACGAAAGTACATGTAACAGTTTATATCATACAAACTTAGATGAATAGTTCTGCTTTTTCAGTGAGGGGCTGGTACAATTCTTCTGGTTATAACACTTAGGGACTAATCCAAAGCCCACTGAAATGTGGAAAGGTTCCCACTGACTTTAACAAGTTTTGGATCTGGCCCTTGAATGGTCTAAAAAATGACTTCTGCAGAGCTGGAAAGCCAGGGAGTTCCTAAAGTAGATCATGTTACTAGTTCTGGCACATAAAATCTTTGCAAACTTTTTATGAAAACTGTAAGTCAGAGCATGCATTACGTTTTGTGAACTGTGCATAGCTCCCATTCTTTTGGGTGCCGAGAATTTCCTAATCATCATTCAAAGAGATACGCAGGCAGAGGAAGAGCACGTGTAAATTAACGAGGAGAGGACATTCCACAAACTGTAGCACAATAATACCTAGATTTTTAAAACAGGCTCACTAAAACGTAACCACAGCAAATCTTCAATATAGTTGCTATTTTACAAGCTGAAGTTCCTTTGCAATTAACACTCTTTTATGCTTGGAAAAATAAGAACCCAGAACAAATTGTCCAATCTGAGGAAGAGCAAAAAACACAAAGTGCACTCTCCCTCCAGGTTGCTCCCCAGATTTTCATTGGGATTTTGCTATAGAATGAAATGCCCCAAATAAACCTCACCCACTTAATCAACCCACCCATTCATCAGGAAACCATACATGTATTGGAAGTGTAACAAAAACTTGTTCACCACAGGTAGGAAATGCAAAGTATTTCTCAAGTAAGCCAAATAAATATATAAAAGGATATTGCTGTCAAATACCAACTGAGGTTGAGTAAATTAAATTTATATTTGTTTCTTCAGTGCTGTACTTGGGACAAGTCACTGAACCTCTAAAACAGAAATAAAGTTTGGTAACATACGTTGGGCCTGAATTCAGCAGTGCTCCAGCTGAAATTAATGTCTTATGAGTTTGGCACCTCTGTCAGTCCATTAGATACCAGTCAATGAAAACAGCAGAAGGATGTGAAGATATAAAAGTGTAGTAGCCCACAAATATTTGTTCAGATTGTTTTTCCTTTGGATAAAGACACCTGCCTGATTAGTACTTTTTACTTCCAATCCTTTCCTCTCAGCAGTGATTTGCAGAAACAAGCTGGAGAGAGTGGGTAAACACAAAGGGGTTAAAGGGGAAACTGTTTAATAACAGTAGTAAAATGCAGGCTATTTTTGACATCTGGGTTAATGTCCATTATGCACCATATGCTTTCCAAATGTTTGCAACAAGCACCCAGATACAAAAACAGATACCCATTCACATAGGCTTAAATTGCCCTCTCCTAACCTGTTACACATGGTACCTACATAAAAGGCCAACAACTGATATGGTAATTAGTGAGGAGGGAAAAGAGAGGGAATAGCCACTTTATTACAGGGAATTGGTATCTGACCGAATGCTAGTAGAGAAGGATATCATTAATGAAAACCTATTAGGGTTATTTCTGCTCCTTAATCCACGACAAGGCATCTGTACTATAATGTGACATCTTTTAAAAAGCTGTCAGGATGAATTCCTCAGTTTCCTTCTCCAGACTCATTCATCATTACTGCAATCAGAGTACCAACAAATGATGGGAAATTATTTCATTTTCTGGAAACAAGTAACTAGACTGAAAAGTAGTATTTAAAAAATAAGGCTATAACTCATAAGGTCTTTCTCAAGTGACCTCCTGGGACTCGCCTGTGCCTCTTGCAACAACAAAATCTAAATGGCATGAAGGAAAAAAAATGTATTCTCAATTTTTACCTTTATCTGTGCAAAACCATGAAAAGAATGACTACATTAACTAAAACAAAGCCTTGGCACATACCACTCTAAATTCTGTCCCTGCCACCAGCTTATTCTGTGACTAAGCAAAAATCATATTATTTTTCTGTGCCTAACTTTCTCTTTGCTACAGCAGGCATAACATCAGGCTCCTCACAGGAATTTGCAAGGCTTAATGTTTGTAATGTGCCTTAAGAGTCTTGGATGAGTGCTAAGTATTATTATTTTTCAGTTCCTGCATTTGATTAAAACTGAAATAACATAGTAAAAATTAAATTAATATATTAAGTTACAAGTAAAGAGCAAGCATGTGGTTTGTGGAGCTACTTATAACACTTTTAATACGAACACGTATTACAGACTAGGTGATTCCCAAGGTCTGTGCTGACATGTACCATGTGGGCATAACTTAACAACTGAAAAACCCCCCAGAAGTTTGATTCGGCCAAAAATCTGCTTGTGGCTTCTGTGTGAGCCCAGAGCTTGGACCAGTGGGAGCACTGTGGGCTGCTTTTCCCTGCCCCTGAAGTGCAGTTGCAGACACGATCACAGCCCAGATATTTGCAACTCAGCACAAGAAACAATACTGGGTAGCACAGATCTGCTGGAGTGCTCGCCACTGCGGAGTTCCCTTAACACAGGATATGACAGTGGCATAATATGTGCTATTTGAACCTCTCTGTCATTACAGCCCCAACAATAAATACCATTTTTGCTACTTCCTCCTGGCTGAACTCTTGTGGAAAGAATGAAAACCCACCTCTCACTTTCTAAAGAATACAGTAACCTGTTAAAGCCTGTTACATCGATAGGAAAACCTCCCGTGAGGAGGGCCAAGAAGAGAAACAATTAAGACATAAAGTTGTATCCAACCTATGTACAAAACTTCCAATGCTGAGATGCCAAAGACACCTAAGACACTTGTTGAGCTGAGTGAAAAGGTAAAATCTAGTTTAAATTTATAGCATTCCTTCAGTGTCCCTCTAGGAGTTTGGCTTTTTGCCAGTGTTCCTTGTTAAAAATTTGTTAAACGTGTTTGGCATTAATGCAAACACAAAGTGCTCATTTGTTACAAATTCTATTGGAATGCATTCATTTAAGGCAATGAAGTAGTTACCAGAAAAGAAAAAATGTTCATTAAGTACATTTTAAAAATACAATGATGTATGCGGTGCATAACTATGGCGCCCCAGTGGCTATATAAATATCTGACAGAATAACCACAAGTTGTGTTTGGTTTGAAATTGGAATCTTTTAAACATAACCGATAGAACAAAAACTGGTTTTGTTTGTTGTCAAAACTGATGTTAGTCTTTCTTGTTTAGAACTACTTATAATAACCAAAGTTTTGGCGTGCAGTTTTTTACATCTCAAATCAATAAAGCCCACAGGTTAAAGTAATGCTCGAGGAAGTTTCTTGATTTGAAAGGTGAGTGCAGCACTGCACATTATCTGGAGAACACTGGACACAGAAAGTAAACACCCTGCTTGGAGAAGAACAAATTTTAGTCATTCTTAAAAACTCCACTTAAGGAAATGTTACCTGGGAGATCTGCAACTGTCTGACAACATTCAGGTACACCCAGGCAAAAGGTGTCCTGCTCTACTCTTAATGCACTGGTCCTTTCAGAAAATAAGGAGTTCAAACCTAGCTTACAAAATCCTAATAACAAATCTCTCTTTTATAATAATGTGAAATATCCCTGGTAATGATAACTCTTAATTTTTAATAGGCAATTCTGAGGTTTATTTCTTAGATGCTAGAAAATATCTTCTTAGCTACATTTTAAAAGTAAACCCATTTTTCTTTTTATTTTTTCAATAATTTATAGTTACTTACTAAAAAGCTTAAAAATGGTAAATACATGAGTAAAACATATTCAAAAGAAAGATCCAGAAACTCTGTGATTTAATTAAATATTGAAAGGTTCTCAAAAACCCATCAGCATAAAAAGTTATTTATAAAGA